AGAGATTAAAACCCTAATTTTGGAAAGTTAAAAATGGATTAAAGGTCTAGTTGAATTTGAAATAACAATTTGAATTTGAAATTAATTTTAAAAATCCTTCCCATGGAAAAAAATGCTATTGTTTTGAATTCTTAAAAAAGAATGATAGGATGGGACTATGAAGGGTGGACACCAGACGGAACCAGAAGAATTAAGATTTAAATTACATTTCAAGAAGTACTCTTAAATTTTATTTACTAATACAGAATGGAGTAAAATACTTTAAAGTTGGAAAATTTTGTGAATAATGGTAAAGTAGTTAATTTAGGACTATTTACCATTATCAGTAGACTGCGTTTAAAAGATGATATGGAAGAGGAACAGGTTTACCAGACAAGATTGAGACTGATTTAAAATAATAGAAACAGGATACAAGAATGATATGGACAAAGTTGTGACTACATAGGATATACAAATGAAACCGGCTGCTATTTTCATAATTAAATGTATATACAAATAAGAAACTAGAAGAGTGACTTGGATAACTTTTCCATCAAGGATTTAGGACAGAAACTTGTTAAAGTTTTGAAGACTTTTGTGAGAAAGGACAAAGATAAAAATGAAACAAAATCAAATTATAGAGCATTGCTTGAAAAGATTAAAGGTCAAGATTGTTAAAAGTACAAGTAAGGAATATAATGTTGGTTTATTTGATCCAGGTTGCAAGAGATATATTGATATCTCTGGTAATCCTTAATGGCTTTTGCTAAATAGACTGAATAATGAGGCTTTAATGATTTGTTTATAGATAAGAGATGAAATATGAAAATAAAATAAAATTTGTTGTAGTTTAAGAGAAATTGATAATTTACTAAACTTTTTGCAATGAAGGAGGAACTCATTTCTCTATAAATTGTCATTTTCTTTACTATATTCTTATTTTTTCTTTTCTATTTTTCTATTTTTTTTCTTTTGTGCACCTTCTATTTTTTCTTTTTATTATTTTTGTTTTCTGAGGTTGTATTAGTTTTATTAGAGCTGTGGTAGCGCAGTGATTAGAATGCAGTATTGCAGGCTAATTCTGCCCACAGCCAGGAGTTCAATCCTGACCAGCTCAAGGTTGACTCAGCTTTCCATCTTTCCCAGGTCAGCAAAATGAGGACCCGGATTGTTGGGGGCAATTTGCTGACATTGTAAACTGCTCAGAGAGTGCTGTAAAGGACTATGGAGCAGCATATAAATCTAAGTGCTATTATTATTGCTATTTCTTTAATTGTAATGCTTAATAAAATTACTATTTAAAAGTGGCAGCTTGTTCTATTTATTTTTTACAGAACTGTAGAATACATTATGAGGAAGGTGAGAAAATGTCCCTGCCTCCCTTCAGTAGCCTTGAAGAACATTCTGCTTATTGCAGGAAATAGGTAGAATTTCCCTTTGAAACCATTCCTTGTAGTTTTTTGCTTTTGATTTGCTCCTGTGGGCATTTTTCTGGTACTGGTACCCTGCTCCTTCCATCTTACCATTCTATATTAACTATCAATTTTCAGAAATACTGCAAGGAAAGTATGACCAGCTATGTCAGAAAAGCAAACCAAGTTGCTTGACATAGTTTTTCCCCCCTTTATTGTAGGGAAAATTTAGATTTGGTTAGATTTCCAATCTAATGAAATTAAGACTGCAACATCCAGACACTCCAGTATAGTATGCTGGCTGGAAGATTTAGAGCAGTGGCCCCCAATCTTTTGGGCACCAGGGACCAGTTCCTTGGAGAGAGGTTTTTCTGTGGACCAGAGCAGTGGTGGGTTGCCCCCGGTTTGGACCGGTTAGCAAAAACCGGTAGTAAAACTGGTGGGAGGCTCCGCCCACTGACCCGGACATCATCAGAAGTGATCTGCGCAGGTACGATGCGAACCGGTAGTAAAGGTAAGTAGAACCCACCCCTGGACCAGAGGGCGTGTGGTTTCATGTGCTCCCTGCATCCTGCAGATGGGGCTTCACTTGTTTGTGTGGACCGGTTTCTGGCATGCCGTGGCCCAGTGACAGTCCACAGACTGGGGGTTGGAGACCCCTGATGTAGAGTGTAGCCTAAGACATCTGGTAGGCACTTGATAGGGAAAACCATGTAAGAATAAGTTATCTCCAGAACTCAGCACTTTTTAAATGATAAACAGTTTGGTTTATCACCTAAGAAATTAGAAACCCAATGTTATATGAGAGTAAAGCATTTCCAGGTAACCAATAAAGGCATTTCTTGTTGTAATGTTATGTGGGAATAGAATAGAATAGAATAACAGAGTTGGAAGGGACCTTGGAGGTCTTCTAGTCCAACCCCCTGCCCAGGCAGGAAACCCTACACCACTTCAGACAAATGGTTATCCAACATCTTAAAAATTTCCAGTGTTGGAGCATTCACAACATCTGCAGGCAAGTTGTTCCACTTATTAATTGTTCTAACTGTCAGGAAATTTCTCCTTAGTTCTAAGTTGCTTCTCTCCTTTATTAACTTACACCCATTGCTTCTTGTTCTACCCTCAGGTGCTTTGAAGAATAGTTTGACTCCCTCTTCTTTGTGGCAACCCCTGAGATATTGGAACACTGCTATCATGTCTCCCCTAGTCCTTCTCTTCATTAAACTAGACCAATTCCTGCAATCGTTCTTCATATGTTTTAGCCTTCAGTCCCCTAATCATCTTTGTTGCTCTTCTCTCAACATCTTGTTGAATATTAGGCTGAAAGGAATGATAGGCCATAGCCAAACAAATGGTCAGATAAAAGGCAATTTGGCCTGCAACAGGAATGTGGAGGGAGCAAGTGGCCTACAAGAGACACTTCCTAGTTTCTTTACCTGTAGAGGAGATGGGGGGTGAGATAAGAGAGAGGTACTTTCAGATTTGCAAGGTACTGTTAATGTAACCTTACAATAAAGTAGGGTTACCTTATCTTGCCATGTATCCTGTTTCCTCGCAAGTCAGTTTAATGTGATTTACTTTTTTTTATTGTTTAGGATTATTTAGGAAACTGAGATGGGGTTATATATAGTAGCTTCATCCTTCCGATTCACCAAAACACTGAATAAATTGGTAAAGTGTCTGTCTGAATAAACACATCAAGTTCAAAACTTCAAAAGAACTCTGGGATTTGTATAAAAGGACAAGACTGAATAAATTTTCATTGGAGGAAACAAGCAATGAATGCTAAAAGCATACTTCATAGAAATTCTCCTTTGATGTAATTCCTTCTGGAAAGAACTAACCTTTGCAGAAGAGTGATAGAAAGGGAGGAAGAGTTTAAGATAGATGCTTTATGTCGTTCCTGAACAATCAATGCTACATTAAAAGGACCAATGCTATTTTTATGGTGGTAGTGTAAGTCAACCGAGCAAAATTAAAAGGCATCTATTTTTGTATAATATAGCAATATGAACTGTGTATGCTGCAAGAAAAAGGTAACTGATATATTCAAGAAACAATAATGGCAATGGACCAGGTATTAACTTGCTCTAAACATCTGCGGCACTTTTAATAGTCTGAGCTACTGTTTTTCAAAGAAATAATATAGATTTATTCAGGAGTTTCACTATCAAGGTGGAGTTGCTCTTAGGCAGGAGATGTCAGGAGGCAAAAAGCAATGAAAATTGTTGGAGTACAAATCTATGTGCCATGTGGATGTCCATTATCTCTCTAAATTAACAGCCGGATGCAGCTACAACAGAACATACTATATAATATGTGCTTTGCTTCAACCGTTTATTTTGGTTAAGTGCTCTGTCTATGCCCCATCCTGTCCTTTTGTCTTAAGCAGCAAATTTCCGTGGCCCAATCCTTTCCATTCTAGCTGCCAAAGACGAAAACTGGGTATGGCAGCTGTATGTTTAGAGCAGGCTTCCCACCATCTCTTCCACTATTGGGAAGTATTTATTCACACACTATTCCAGGAGGGAGTGGAAGGATGAGAAAAATGGGATAAGGGGCAAGAACCCAGGGCAGCTTCCTTGCTCAGGCATTGGCATAGCTTAAGTAACGAATACATATGAAATGGATCAAACCTTTGGAGGGAATCCGGATACACATTAAGCAATCTCCCTTCAACATCTTGAGGCAGCCTAGTTGAAGGTGTAGATAGAAGAGATATTCCCTGCCTTAAAAACCTGGGTTTTCCATTAAGCCTTGGGTTAAATGGATGAGTTGGTGGGGGATATGGATAGATGGCTTGTTTATGTATTTATTTGATTTTTATCCTACCTTTATTATTTTTAAGAATAATTCAAGGCAGCAAAGATACCTAATACTCTCTTATCCTCTATTTTATTTACATAAACAACCCTGTGAGGTGGGTTTGGCTGAGAGAGAGTGACCGGCCCAAGGTCACCCAGCCAATTTTCATGCCCACCATACTATTGTACTTTTAATTTGGGGTAGCTGGCCAGAGTTGGGCAACCTAGAAATTCAAATAAAGAAAGAAATTGCAATAGCAATAGCACTTAGACTTATATATCACTCATAGTACTTTACAGCTCTCTCTAAGTGGTTTTACAGAGTCAGCATATTGCCCCCAATAATCTGGGTCCTCATTTTACCGACTTTGGAAGGATGGAAGGCTGAGTCAACCTTGAGCTGGTGAGACTTCAGCTGCCGAACTGCTGGCAGCTGGCAGTCAGCAGAAGTAGCCTGCAATACTATATTCTAACCACAGCGCCACCATGGCTCATAAGGTTGAAAATGTGAGTTAAGGAACAGAATACACTCATAGGGTGACATAGCCCCATCTTTCTTATATCTTGTGTGTCCAAAATTTGAACATTCTTGGTAAAATAAGATGATTCCAAACATATATGGATACAAATTTATTTGAACCAGCTTATCTCTCTGTCATTTTAATGCTAAACTTAATGGATGAAAAAGATGAGTTTATGTGTGTGCATTTCTTTATTTGAACTAGCTTATCTCTTGTTGTTTTAATGCCAAGCTGTATGGACAAAAAAGGTGAATTTGTGTGTGTGTGTGTTTTCTTTATTGCAGTCTAGGGAGGTAGAATATGTGAATTCTGAATATGGAAAGAACGCAGTGAGAATCCTGTACGTTAGACGGGAAGGCCAGGTACACTGCATTAAAGAACTGGCAATCTCTGTACACATCAGACTCAACACTGTGAATGAATACTTGAATGCCGACAACTCCAGAGTCATCCCTACAGATACCATAAAGAATACAATTGAAGCATTGGCCAAATGCAATGGGGTAGGTTGCAAAACCATTCGTCTTACCTTATAGCTAGAATTGGATTGCATTTCCTCTTTTTTGTCATTTATAGAATCCATCTTCAGACAAAGCAATAAACAAAAAAATGTGGTGCTATGTGGGAGAAAGTTTCTAAATTAGATGTGGTAGCATTTTACGTTGGGTTTTCTAACAAAAACTCAAAAACATGTCTAATCTGCAGTTCTTATGATTATGTAATATTTATTTTTAAAAGGGATCATCACTAATATTTGTATAATAAGGCAAAATGTTCAGGTTTTGAATAATTCAGAATTCAAAGAGCAGCAGGATACAGGTAACAAATTATGAGGTGCTGTCTTTTTTATAATACAAGATCTATACAAAATTCAGGTAAACAAAAAAGGAATGAAATCAATTGAAAGCCGAAGTCAAGATTTAAAGTAACCAAGAGGTTTTAATTCTATGAACTCAGGGTTCATTGCTCTTTTTAACCCCCCCCCAAAAAACCCTGTATAAAATTTATTTTTATTAAACAAAAGTGCTAAAAATTTCAACAATAGCTTGTAATGACCAGTGGGTGGTTAGCGGTAATAGTTCATATTTTGTGGATTTCATAATTTCTCATGAATAGCTTTGGGCTGCCATGATCAGTATGATAAATCTTTTATGATACGTAAGGTACAATATTAATTCTAAAAATTGATTTGGAGATGGAACCTGATCATATCTAACACCTTTTCTTTTTAGATCAGAACAATAGAGGAGTTTGGGCTGGATATCTGCGAGCACTTCATTAAAACCTTTTGCCACGTGGTGTATTGCAATGCCTTTATCAAAGAGGTTCCCTGGCAGCGCCTAGAAAAGGTATAATAAAGCATACATTTGGGCCACATTCCCTGCAGAAAGCTAGGGAAGGGACAATGACAGGGAAGAAATATGGCATACGATAAGGGCAGGGAAAGTTTTAGTTGGACAATAGGTTGCCAAGGAGAGCAACAGTTCATGGTGAGTGAGCGCTTTCATTTCTTTTCATGAATTCCAAGTGCAAGGTCAAATGGTTTATTTGCAACTTCAATATGTCATCCTTAATTTCTAGGACAATACTCCCCATGCCCATGCTTTTCTCTACAGTTCTGAAGGAATTCGATTTTGTGAAGTGGAGCAGACTCAGAACAGTAAGGAAATGATTTCAATTCATTCATTCATTCATTCATTCATTCATTCATTCATTCATTTATTTATTTATTTATTTATTTATTTATTTATTTATTTATATTTAAATTTATATACCGCACTTCTCCCGAAGGACTCAGGGCAGTGAACAGCCAAAAGTAAAAAACATAAAAATACAAAATTTAAAAGCAATTTAAAATATATTAAACAATTTGGCCGAACAATTTAAATACCCCATTTAAAATTAAAATTAAAATTAGACAATTAGAAAAGTTAGGCCAGCCTGGCTTGTTGAAATAAAAAAGTCTTGAGGGCCGGCGGAAAGTACGTAGATCCGGAATCATCCGTATCTCTGGTGGGAGTTCGTTCCAGAGGGCAGGTGCTCCCACAGAGAAAGCTCTCCTCCTGGGGGCCGCCAGTTGACATTGTTTGACCGACGGCACCCCGAGGAGCCCCTCTCTGTGGGAGCGTACTGGCCGGTGGGAGGTTCTTGGTGGCAGAAGGCGGTCTCGTAGATATCGAGGTCCTAAGCCATGGAGTGCTCTAAAGGTAGTAACCAACACCTTGAATCGCACCCAGAGGACCACCGGAAGCCAGTGCAGTTCGCGAAGGAGAGGTGTTACATGGGAGCGCCATGACGCTCCCATAATCACCCACGCGGCCGCATTCTGGATCAGTTGGAGCCTCGGGGTGCTCTTCAAGGGGAGCCCCATGTAGAGACCATTACAGTAGTCCAGGCAGGCAGTGACGAGGGCATGAGTGACCATGCGCAAGGAGTCCCGATCCAGAAAGGGATGCAACTGGCGTATCAGGCAAATCTGATAGAAAGCCCTCCTGGCCATGGCCATCACATGTTCTTCTAAGGACAGCCATGCGTCCAGGAGGACACCCAAGTTGCCAGCCCTCTCCGTGGGGCCAATGACTCGCCCCCAATAGTCAGAAATGGCACCAACTGACTATATCGGGACGCCGGGAACCACAGTCACTCGGTCTTGGATGGGTTGAGCTTGAGCCTGTTTCTCCCCATCCAGATCCGCATGGCCTCCAGACACTCGGACATCACGTCAAGGGCATCATTGGGGTGGTCTGGGGTGGAGATGTACAGCTGAGTGTCATCAGCGTACTGATGGAACTTCACCCTGAAACCACGGATGATCTCACCCAGCGGCTTCACATAAATGTTGAACAGAAGGGGTGAGAGGACTGACCTCTGCGGCACCCCGCATACAAGGTGCCTCGAGGTTGACCTCTGTCCCCCCGTCAACACAAACTGCGACCGGTCAGAGAGAAAGGAGGAGAACCACCATAGCACGGTGCCCCCCACCCCTAACCCCTCCAATCGGCGCAGCATGATACCATGGGCGATGGTATCAAAAGCCGCTGAGAGGTCTAATAGGACCAGGACAGAGGAACAACCCCTGTCCCGAGCCCTCCAGAGATCATCAACCAATGCGACCAATGTCGTTTCCATGCTGTACCTAGGTCTGAAGCCCGACTGGAATGGATCAAGATAAACCGCTTCATCCAGGTACTGGGGGAACTGTCACGCCACCACACTCTCAACAACTTTTGCCATGAAGCGGAGGTTGGAGACTGGACGATAATTTGCTAAAACAGCCGGGTCCAGGGAGGGCTTCTTGAGGAGGGGCCTCACCACTGCCTCTTTCAAGGCGGCAGGAAAGCAACCCTCTCTCAAAGAAGCATTGATAATCCTCTGGAGCCAGCCTCATGTAACCTCCCGGGAAGCCAGCACCAGCCAGGAGGGACACGGGTCCAATAAACATGTGGCCGCGCTGAGTCTACCCAGAATCCTATCCACGTCTTCAGGGGTCATCGGGTCAAACTCCTCCCAGATAACACTCGCAAGACCTGCCTCCATCACTCCACCTGCATCTACCCAGTCAGTGTCCAAGCCTTCCCGAATCTGAGCGATTTTGTCATGCAGATACTGCACAGAATCCTCAGCCTTGCCCTCCAAGGGGTCCTCTTGCACTCCCGGATGGAGCAGGGAGCAGGTCACCCTAAACAGGGCGGCAGATGCAATAAGAATGGAAAAATAATCAAACTTTGCCATTTTTATCGCCACTAGGTAGGTCTTAATATAAGACCTCACCAGTGTTCGGTCGGATTCGGAAAAGCTAGCTCTCCAACCGCTCTCCAGGTGTCTTTTCCGGCGCTTCATCTCCCTCAGCTCCAGGGAGCTAAGTGAGATTGGTGCCAGGTCAGAGGCCACAAAGGCACGACACGGTCCAAAGCTCCAGCGGCCGCCCTATCCCAGGCGGCCACCAGGTCTTCAGTCGAGTTGTGAGCCAGAGCCTCAGAGAATGGCCCAAGCTCCGTCCGGAACCTATCAGGATCCATCAGGCGCCTGGGGCGGAACCACCTAGTCGGTTCCGCCTCCCTGCGGCAGGGTGTAGTGGTACGGAAGTCGAGTCGAAGGAGAGAATGGTCTGACCATGACAAGGGCTAATGTTTTAGTAGAAACATTAGGTTCATATTTGCAATGGTAGCTTGTAAACAAGATAAATCCATTCGTGTTATTCTTGAAGACCAGAACCAATATAAAAGAGCAAGTAACAAAGCAAACACAGACTTGTACCCTTTTCTTGAATATATAAAGTCTGTTCTTCCATTCTCAGCAGTGAAAGTTTCCCTGGGTGACTTTGGCTGTCAATTTTCTCTCAGCTCAATGTACCCCATAAGGTTGCTGGTCTGGGGAAAAGTTGGAAGAGCTATTGCAATGTATTCTGCCTTGAGATAGGAAACCAACCAACCAACCAATCATTCCCAAACAATATATTATAACTCTGTATTTTGTTGCAAGATCTACAAGTCCTTCACAAGCTGCCAGTAACATACTATGGGATTTATCTACCGTGTTTTCCTCAAAATAAGACCCTGTCTTATATTTTTTTTGAACCCTGAAATAAGTGCTTGGCCTTGTTGCCATGCGCTCAAAAGCCCGATTGGGTTTATTATCAGGAGATGTCTTATTTTGGGGGGAACAGGATAGTATGATAATTTTAATATAGGTAGTCCTCAACTTATGACTGAAATTATGGTCCTACATTGTTGTGGGTCACCAAGTGACTGGACCCGATTTTAATATTTTTTTAGCAGAGGTTTTAAGTGGATCAAATTTTTTTCCTTAAATTTGATTTATATGCCGCCCTTCTCCGGAGACTCAGGCCGGCTTACAATGTGCTCAGCAATAGCCTTCATACTTTTGTATATTTATACAAAGTCAGCTTATTGCCCCGACAAACTGGGTCCTCAATTTACCCACCTTAGAAAGGATGGAAGGCTGAGTCGACCTTGAGCCTGGTGAGAATTGAACTCGCAGTAATTGCAGGCAGCTGGATGTTAAATGCTGCCTTAGGAGGCATTAGCCTCCTACGCCACTCAGGCTCCTATGTTCTCAATTTTATCCAATGAGCGGGGTTTTTTGCCAGAAACCAGAAGTAAAAATGCCATAACAAGACTGTGGGATGCTGCAAATGGCTGTAATGGTGAGCCAGGTGCCAAGCACTCAAAATTTGTCCATTGTGTGTGCGTGTATATGTCTATATGGCAGATGTAACTTCAAAATTGATTGGAAGTAGCTTTTGGGAGGTTTGTTGCAACTTTGAATGGTCGTTAAGTGACCGATCGTAAGTCTAAGACTGCCTGTCTGCAATTTTGAAAGTGGAATGTTTGTCATCTTTTAAAATGCTATTTTAAACTATGAAATAATTTGGTTTTTAAAGAGCGATAACTCCGGATATCAATGAAAAAAATAAACATAAATAAACATATAAATTGCACATGAGCAACAGAATCCACAACAGGCTACAGTCCCTTTTGGTGACAATTTCTCTGCAGTGGTAATATTTGAAATCAGATCTGAACTCAACATTTGGATCAATCCAGAACATGTTGAATGACCTTAATATTCCTCTCAATCCCTATAACTTTGTGAATTTACAATAAAGTTGGAGCCTTGTAAGAAAAATGGTGCTGCTTTAATGATATTTGTTTTGATCCACTTTGTTGTTGTTAGTTGTTGGACAATGTTCCTCCAGGCCTTCCTGTCTTCCACCATCCTCTGGAGTCCATTTAAGCTCATACTAACTGCTTCAGTGACTCCATCCAGCCACCTCATTTTCTGTCGTCCTCTTCTTATTTTGCCCTCAGTCGTTCCCAACATTAGGCTCTTCTCCAGTGAGTCCACTAGGCCTCTTCATAAAAAAAAAAGGGGGGGGGATTTTGATCTGCTGAATCAAAGCAAAGGCCTCAGCTCCTATACAAATTAATCCAAATATGCCATGCTAAAACTGACACACAGATTTCCTTTTAAACTTAACTAAGGCATCCATTATTAGACTTCATAATCAAGAATATAATACATTTTAAAAATTTGAGTTCCCAAGAATGTTTTATTTTTCAGCCAGCCATATAGAAGCGCAGTTCAATGCATGCTTAATTGGAAATACATTTCATTTTCCTGGGCTGAAAATTGATTTGCAGGTATCACTGCATCTTTAGGAAAAAAAGCTCTATATGTAACCGTGGGACATCATGTCTTATATTAAAATGAATTCATGCTCTTCCTCTCCTAGATGCTCCAATTGTTTTTTCTGGCATTAAGGATCTAAAGCTTATGAAAACAACCCAGTCTGGATTCCAGGGCTTTCTTAAAGAAAAATACACCACACTTCCAGAAAGGATAGATAGAGTGTTGTCGGTGGAAACACTCATCAAATGGTGCTACGGTGAATGTTTGGATGGCCTTGATTATGATTCCATATGGTAAGTAAAAAAATTTGCATGGATTCTCCTATAAGTAATGGGGCCTCTGAAATTTCTTTACAGTGGAGGAAAGGGCTTACATAAAATAAGACTAAAACTAGCAACAAATAATATCTCTTGCTAAGGAGGTTGTGATAAAATACCATACAAGTAGTCCTCAATTTACAACAGTTTATTTAGTGACTTAGGACCATTTTTCACATTTATGACCGTTGCAGCAACCCCATGATCACATGATCAAAATTCAGACAATTGGCAACTGACTCATATTTATGACAATTGCAGTGTCCCAGGATCATGTGATCACTTGTTGAGACCTTCTGACAAGCAAGGTTGTTAACTGAACAACTGCAGAGATTCACTTAACAACTGTGGCAAGAAAGGTTGTAGGATTCACTTAACAACTGGGGCATCATTTAACCAATGTCTCACTTAGCAACATAAATTTTGGACCCAATTGTGGTCATGAGTCAAGGACTACCTACATTTGAGGATCATTTTGACTCACAGTCTTGACTTATTTTTTCAAGCGTTTTATTTCTTGTGGCTTGACTCCATTTCTTTTAAAATAACTTTATTAGATTTTTTACACTAAAAAGATTACAAACTTACAGAAAGAAATAATAAAGAAAATAAAGAACAAAGCCAAAAGTACAGAAAGAAAAAGAAATATAAAGAAAGAAAAGGAAAGGTAAAGAAATATAAAGATTTTCTTTTATAACAATTGTAAGTATAAATTTAAATTAACCTTTTCCTCTAAGGTCACATAACTCTCACTTTTTCCTATTATCTAATAGGTTTTCTAATCACCAAGCCCATATATCATAATTTCATTTTTTTTTCCTGTCTCAGGCAAAAAGTCCAAAAGGGCTTTCCAATCAGCATTAAAATTAATCAATGTCTTTTCTCTATTCAAAGTTGTCAATTTTATCATTTGAAGACGTTCTATCATCTTCACCATTCACTCTTCCATTGTGGGTATTGTCACATCTTTCCGCCATTGTGCATATAAAAGTCTTGCACTTGTGTTGGTTCTAGTGGTGTCAAACTTGATTTCATTGAGGGCCGTATCAGGGTTGTGTTTGACCTCGGAGGCCTGGGGAATGGGTGTGGCCATGGCAGGCGTGGCTATGGCAGGTGTGGCCATGGTGGTGGTCAGGAGTGGGCATGACCATGGCAGACGGAACTCATGTCGGGGGCACTTGTGGTCTCCAAGTACTAATGCAGGACTTCCCTGAGACCCTCCCTCACTCTCATTATAATCTTCCTTCCTTCCTTCCTTCCTTCCTTCCTTCCTTCCTTCCTTCCTCTTCCTTCCTTCCTTCCTTCCTTCCTTCCTTCCTTCCTTCCTTCCCTCTTCATTCTCCTTTTTCCTTTCCCTCTTTCCTTATTTTTCCTTCCTTGCTCTCTTCCCATCTTCCCTTCTTTGTCTTTCCTCTTTCCCTTTCTCCTTTCCTGTCCCTTCTTGCATGCTGAAATGCAAAAGGGGAAACATTTCTCCTTTTAGTTTGTTGTTAGTTTGTTTTGATAGCCCTCTGCCAGCAAAAACAAGGTGCTCCATTTTCACTGGCAGAGGCACCACAGGCTGGTCTTTTACTGTTTGCAAGCCAGCCCTGCAGGCCGGATCTAAGCACCCCATGGGCCAAATCCGGCCCCAAGGCCTTGAGTTTGACACCCCTGCTCCAGAGTAATCAATGATTATTTTATTTAATTCACTATTTTTAATGAATTATCATATGTGGTCTGCAGTGGGCTTTTCCTCCATAATTGTAAAGGCACCAGCATTATAAAATAATTCCATAATTTTGCTAATTTTGACCGCAATATGAATGTGCATTTCTTTTGTCTGCTAATGCACACTTTCATTCAATTGGCTCAACACCAAAAGATTACAGTTTGCAAATTTTACTTCTGCTTTTGCTTCCAGACATTGCATTGATTTCTCCCAGCCTCATAGTAATTTTGGAATCTGTTGTTTTTATTCCCAGTTCTTTTAAAACATTGCAGTGTCTGTGATTTCTACTGTATAGAATAGATGAGGTTAGGATTATCCACAATTCTAGAGTGCTGTATTATTCTAAAATTGTTGAGTTTTTTTTTTATTGTATTTTGATGGTTGTACTCAGACTGCAAACTTTCTTTAACGTAAATTATAACATGACTATAAGGCTAAATCCTTTAACTGTCCACTAGTATGTGTCTGTCAACTCTTATGACCAATGAAAAATCTCTAAGATAAGCATTACATGTTACTGAAACCTGACTGTCAAGTATATAAGATTACAATCACCATCATAATCAACAACTTGTATGCCACCCAATTCCTAATGACTCATATTTTTATACTCCAGCTTATTTTGGGTGCTTTGACTAATTTTCCATCAAGAATTTGCTTAGCTCCCTGGTTATTTGGCTTCAACAATGCTATAGTATTTCAGGCTTCCTAGTTAGTCCCACTCATGGCTGAATGTGATTATGTGGAGTGTCTGAGGATTTTAGGCACATATACCAGTATATATATATATATATATATTGTCATCTCTTGATTTCCTCAGTGTGAAAATTACCCCAGTGTTTATAAACATTACAGGCACAACACACAGAGTTGTTCACCAATGCCCATGTGTGTTGCCTTGCACAGTGTAGATTTTATCCATTGCAGTTTGATTCCAAATGTTGTATGTTTTTTTTCCCAACTTTAAAGGAGAACTGCCCACGAAAGTGTTCTTGATGCTTTTGCTGGGCCACCAGAAACAGGCCATTACTCACCGTCTTACCAGAAGACAGTCAACTGTATTCAGACAAACATTCTGGAGAGAATCCCACAGGCCAGTAACTATTTCATTTGGGGCTTTCAGTGTGTTTTTATATATATATATAAAATTCAACAGAAAAACGTGTGTGTGTGTATGTATGTATATATATATATACGAAGAAGTAAGAAAATTGATACTGTACCTTTACAGGGAGGATACATAAGATATGGGTGTGGCCTACTGATGAAAGCAAACGAGCTAGAAATGGATCTATTTAGGTCTCCCACCTAGCAGTTAGAGCTTGCTAGCTGTTAGAAAGGAAAAAAGCCCAGAACCGAGTAGATGTGATTCTACTGAGCTGGAGCTACAAAAAAAACCTTGGTTACGTAGGGAAAACCTGGCTAGAAGGAAAAAAAAAACACACACACACACACACATACACACACACACACATATAGTGTATATGTGTAGTACAAGTCACTCTCAGCTATGAAAACTCACTCTATGTCTATGGCTAGCCTCAGCTCAGCTCAGTTTCCAGGCTGTGGGGAATAAAATGAAGGGAGAACTCATTGCAATCTTTCTTGAGCTGTGGAAGGAATGGCAGGATATAAATTTAAGTAAATAAAATAAAATATTTCATATAATTCAAGAAACTGTCAAACAGAAAAATATAAATATCAGGAGTCAGACAACTTTATTGAGTTTATCTGTTATGTTAAATCTGTATATATGATTTCTTTATAAGTCATACTGGTGTTTTTGTATTTTCAGATTGAAGAGGTAGAAGTTATCCTGTCTAACATCCACTATTCAGTGACAAACTTAGAAAAACTGGGAATATCCAATGACAAAGAGGTGAGAATTACTTTTTCTTGGTCATCCAAACTATGATATTTATTATTATGGATTGTACACTGGGAAGAGTGGGATCATTTACCAGTAATACAAATTTAATTGAATTTACTTTGGGTCACTTAGTCTCCAAAACAAAATGAACCAACACATAAAAAATGTTATTCAGACAATTAGACCTTTTTGACACCAAGAATTCCTGGCACTGGAAGAAGACGATCATGGAAGTTATTTGAAGAAGTAGAAGAATTCCTTCTCAAGATCTGAATTTACAGGAGTAAACCTGAATAATCTTAAAGCCAATGGAAGATTAGCCCAGATTATCTCCTGGTTGCATCTATTTGTTGAGTTTATTCCACTAGCTACCTGGTCTGATTAAATCTGAAAAATGATTATTATTTAATGAAGCATAACCCTGACATTTTTATTAATAATCTAGCCCTTTCCAAATTACCGGAGTCATCCAAGAGGTGAAATTAACTGTACAGACCAGTTAGATCCTTTGTGTCAGCGGTCACCAACTGGTGGTCCATAAACCACTGGTGGTCCATGAGAAAATTTTGGTGGTCCGCAGAAAAATTATTTGCATTTTTTATTATTGCATTAAATCAGGGATCCTCAATCTACAGCCCCTGGGCCGGATATGTGCAATGAACGTTTGTCTTGCTGCAGAGACTCTGCCCCTCCGGAGTCTTTTTGTGTGGGTCGGAGGGGGCCAGAAATTCTGACTTGGGGTCTGTTGAAGCCACCTGGTGCGGGGCTTTGGGCGAAGGCTGGAAGGAAGCGCCACTCGTGGTGAAGAGCCGGTGGACGTTGTTCCAGTGGGACTGCATCATGGCCTGGAACTGACTGACATTGAGTTGGCCATGCTCACCCAGCTGGTCATTAGATAGAGCATATTAGTGGTCCACAGGATTTAAAATTATGAATTTAGTGGTCCCTGAGATCCGAAAGGTTGGGGACCCCTGCTTTGTGTGACTATGCAGGAAAAAAAATAGTCCTGCTTTCTCTTGTGTTAATAATGAGTGTTTAAGTTACAGACCAATGATTGAAATGTATGCATCTTTCCTTTCCAGATTTTTACACCTCAGGAGACACCATTTGGTGCTTGTGCATCCACACTGCGTAGGAAGGATTGTTCAAAAAAGCTGCATAATATACCAGTAGACTGCAAGCCTCGTTGCTGTGTTGGGTGGAAATTTGCCCGTGGAATTTAATGAAGACCCAATTCTTTTCTGAGAACATCATATTATGTAATAATGAAATCATAGCAGCAGGCATTACTTACTCCATGCTTTTCTCCATGTTACCATAGAAAGCCAGTTATGGATGATTATTTCCAAGCAGAGTTTCAAGAAAATAATTAATGAATTTCCTTTTTTTTCTTCTCTCTCTTTTGAAAACCCACACCCAAATCCAAAGAACTCATCACAACACACAGTAGTTGTATCCAAACTTAACCATGATTCAAAATAATTGTCAATTACAGTCCATTCTAACACAATGAAGTCTGGATCAGGGGTGAAATCTACAATTTGTTACTACCGGTTCTGTGGGCATGGCTTGGTGTGCGGGTGGTAATGTGGGCGTGGCCTTTTTTTTTTTTAATACTTTTAAAACCATTTTTTCTACGACCTCTTCGGCTAAGAGGTTGTAAAAAAATGCTTTCAAAAGGCTCTGACGATCCAAGCTGATTTCCCTGATCAGGGAACTCAGCTTGGATCGTCAGAGCATTTAAAAGAATAAAAGGGTTTTTTTCTTTTAAATGCTTTGACGATCTGCCAATCAACCCAGCTGGGATGGTCAGAGCATTTAAAAGAAAAAAACCCTTTTTTTCTTTTAAATGCTCTGACCATCCCAGCTGAGTTCCCTGAAAGCCTCTGCCGATCAGGGAACTCAGCTTGGGTCATCAGAGCATTTAAAAGAAAAAAAAAACCTTTTCTTCTTTTAAATGCCTTTGATGAGCCGCGCGATCATCAGAGGCTTTTTTTTAATTTTTAAAAGCATTTTTTCAACCAAAGTTGTAGAAAAAATGTTTTTAAAAGTAAAAAAAAGCCTCTGATGATTGTGCGGCTCAGCTGGGCATGGGGGGGTGGCGGGGATTTTTGCTACCGATTCTCCGATCCAGTCCGAACTGGGAGCATTTCACTCCTGGTCTGGATCCAATTTAGTAACATTGCAGAATTTCTATATCAATTAACCAGGGCTCATCAAGTAAACAGATGTGCTATATGGGAAGCACCATTAGCTACTTTCAAATGATTATTACTGAGTTTATCTTCACTGATTTTGAAAAGATGAAGAAAACAATACGTTAAGATCCCATTACTTTCCTGAATTGACTAGCGCCAGAGATCTAAATTTCTCCTGCCCGTTTAATAAATTCTGTATCGCCTATGTAAGTTAAATTAGACTAACAATGTTAAAAGAAGCAGAAGACTTGCAGTTTTGCATATTGTAAATGTTATATAGTGTCAAAAGTTCAGAAAATGCCTACCTTAAGGTTGCTGGATCTCTCTCTCTCACACACACACCCTGGACAAAAGAGGCCTTTCCAGATCTCCTCTCTGGACTCTCCCCTTCTCTAGACTTTCCTCTCTGGATCCTTCAAGGCCTCTGGGGCCTCAGAAAATTGTGTGAGAATGCTTGCATGATTTTTGTGTGCCTCAGAAGCTATGAGAAAGCAAGGCCATGTGGCTTCCAGAGGGTCTGGAGACCTGGTGTATCACCACAAATGTCTTTTATAGGTTCGCCATCACTATCATAGTATAACTATGACTGTTGACGGACTGACACTCAAGTAGTACAAATGTGATTTTCATGCATTTTACTTTCGTAACCAAACCAGGGAATGCATGTGAGAACGTAAATAGCTATGCATTTACATAATCATAAAACATACTCAAACTACCACCTAGCTCCACTCAAAATATATGGCTGCTAAACATTGACATACAATTTACTCAAAAAAATAAAATGAGTTGATTCCATATTAATTTTTATAAAATATATATTAATTCAATTAAACAGAAGATTTCAGAAGATCTAATTCCAGATGGAAGGAGTCAGATGAAAAAAACTATTTTTACAATATTAACTGTAGACCATGTTTTTAACAAGGCTTCTGATATTTCATGATTGTACATAAGATTCAATTTATTTACTTACATAAAGTTTCCTACAAGCAATAGTCTTAAATATATTATAGGCAGACACCTATACATTCAATAGAGAAATTCTGGGTGGTAACCTGAACTTTTAAAATCAAATTTGAAACTGATTGCCAGACTACCTGTCAAAACACTTTAGTAGCTTGCCATATCATTTAGAAACAATTTGTTCAATCACCTTCCGCAATTTGTGCTCAGCAGATAGATAATAATCTATCATCAGATTTGTACTTCTTCAGGTTTATAAAATTACAATCCAACATGTTCTACTGTCAAAGCTAGAGGCTATTCAAGGAAACCTGTAACATGATAGGTTAGCCACGCTTGTCTCTTTGCAGCTTTCCTTGTCTTGTACTAGTTTATCTTTAAACAATAATATATCAACAACAAATCTGAGATAAACTTTCTTTAATCTGCTTTCAAAAATAAAATAAAATTCTAGGAACTGTTTGTAAACCACCCAGAGTCATCTTATCAGTAAGTTGGGAGGCATAGAAATTTAATAAATAAATAAATAAACCCCTTTTTCATTTTAGATTTCATCCTTTGTAGTAGGATTGCTTGGAAAAAAGTTATCAAGGATTTCAGTCTTTCAGAACAGGGCTTTTCATCATAGGCAATATTGAACAAATTTATTTAAATGTTTTCGTTTACCATTCCTTTACTTATTAAGGTATAAGTAGTTTTCAAGTTTCACTTGCTTTCTATGGCCTGTTCTTTAGAGCTAAGCATTCTAAACTGGAAGAAATGAAAATGTCTATAGCAATGGGTAAAAAATTTCTAGGGGCCTCCTCTGTAACAAGTCTTTTCTTCATTTACAAATCTCAGAACAGCAGGAATATTTACCAACACCTTTAATACCTGCTTTTTTTGGGAAATATATATTAATGTTGCATTCTTATGAAATGGGAGAGTTTGATTAATGTGACCTATTGGGGAAAAAAAACTTGTTGGCCACATTACAATTTGGGGACACACCCACTCTAAAAGAAAATCTACATATTACTATTAAAAAGTATGAAAATGGCCTTATCAACAACAAGGTTTTTAATAAGAAAGCCCAGAAGATTCTCCAAAATATGAGTTAATTAATATCAAATAGCATCATCATCATCCTTTCTGTTGTTCAAAATTTGACTGCATAATTTAATCTGTTTACTTTTTTATTCTATCCTATCTTTCAACTAGAGAATTACTAGAATTAATATTAGAATGTCTCAAATGTCTTGTTTCGTTACTATCAGTTTTTGGTTCTAAGGTTTCTAAATTTCTAGTTCTTTTATGGGTGAATAAAGAGCAAAGACAAAAACAAATTGAATCTGTTTATTCAATTAAATATGAAACTCTGTAAATATCAAAACATAAACATATTCTAGAGTCATACAATTCCTTATCTTGCAGATGAAAGCAACAGAGTTGAGATGATGAATTTAGTCTATGGCATTGATATATGAAAGCCAAGAGTTTATAATATTATTTCAGAGTAGTAGTTTGGCTGCCTAAGATTATTAATTTGTTATGTTCACACTCATGCACTAACTAGGATGTGCCACAGGGGGCAAACTAGCTCCGCAACCCAGAGAAGCCAACAGCATTCCGCAAGTGTGTCAGCATCATCCGGAACTTTTTCCTCTGCCTTTTGTTTCATATTCAGGCCAGTCTGGCACTGGTTGTTTTTTTGCTTCTGCTGTTAGTCCCGTCTGAGTGGTACCTTAAACTTCTTAAATCTGAGTTTCCAGGTGTGCCTTGTGAAGAGGAGTGGGGTGCTCTCCTCCCGAGTCATCGGGTCAGCCTGTGCTGTTCCTGCCTTCTCTCCACTCTCCACGCTCAGGGATCAGGAGAGGGCAGTCCTTGTTTATTGCCTGAGCTCCGTCGCTTATGTCCCCTGCTTGCCTTCTCTCGGTCATCCTGCCCCCGTTCCTCCCTGCTAACAAGCCGTCACAATCCTGAAGGGCCCTGGGCTGACTTGGCACGCTCCTCCCCACATTCCTCTGAAGCCACTGAAGTTGTCCCCTCAATCTCTCTGTCGGCTCCAGCTCTGGCTTGTCTTCGTCTGTAGATTCAGACTCCGACGGGGGCATGACAGGACACTAGGAGAAAACATTTATGAACTGCATTTGCTCTGGTTTTCCTCTCAGTCCTTGATTTATCCTCATCAAAATCCTATGATATAACTTGGGCTGTTTGTATATATGAATATTATCACTTCAAAGTCATTGCGTAGTGTTATAGCTGATTAGAAATCTGAATCTTGGTTATCCAAATCACGGCCAATCTTCTAACCACTACTCCATTCTCTTCTTTTTAATTCCTTTCTCTCACGATTGCTGTTGGATCTAAGGTAATAGAACAGCATAGCTCTATTCATACAATCATAAAATGGTTAGTGAATTAAACCACTTCTATTTTCATGCAATTATCTTGAGTTACAAGCTAGTCAAATGAGTTTGTTCACACAATTCCTTAAGGACAAAATACAGCGGCCAAAGAAAAATGAATTGAGCTCAGCAGTGTCTACAAATGTAACCCATTTCTGCAATTTGTAACCGCCTTGAAAGAGTCGGTGGTGAGGCCCCTCCTCAGGAAGCTTGCTCTGGAACCGGCTGTTTTGGCTAACTATCGTCCGGTCTCCAACCTTCCCTTCTTGGCGAAGGTTGTTGAGAGTGTGGTGGCGTGACAGCTTCCTGGGTACCTGGATGAAGCTGTCTATCTGGATCCACTCCAGTCCGGCTTCAGGCCTGGGCACAGCACGGAAACGGCATTGGTCGCATTGGTGGATGATCTCTGGAGGGCTCGGGATAGGGGTTGTTCCTCTATCCTGGTCCTGTTAGATCTCTCAGCGGCTTTTGATACCATCGACCATGGTATCCTGCTGTGCTGGTTGGAGGGGTTGGGAGTGGGGGGCACCGTCTTGCGGTGATTCTCCTCCTATCTCTCCGACCGGTCTCAGTCAGTGTTGGCAGGGGGGCAGAGGTCAACCCCGAGGCGCCTTGTTTGTGGGGTGCCTCAGGGGTCGGTCCTCTCGCCCCTTCTGTTCAACATTTATGTGAAGCCACTGGGTGAGATCATCTGTGGCTTTGGGGTGGAGTTCCATCAGTACGCTGATGACACTCAGCTGTACATCTCCACCCCAGGCCATCCCAACGATGCTCTTGAAGTGATGTCCCGGTGCCTGGAGGCCGTGCGGATCTGGATGGGGAGTAACAGGCTTCGTCTCAACCCTTCCAAGACCGAGTGGCTGTGGCTTCCGGCGTCCCGATATAGCCAGCTGGTGCCATCGCTATT